TAGGACAGAAAATGACTTCTATACTTTTAAAATTTGCCCAAAATTTAGGAGGTCTTTAGACCAAGCCAACTATAATATCCATATTATCATTGCTGGTATTTTTTGGACATTTAATTTGTAATGAAATAAATATACACCAATTTAAAACACATTCAGGTATTATGTATAAAAGAAAATATGGACCAATTCCTTTTAGAAGCAAGTTGATAAATAGGAGCTGAAATTATCAATTCTACCTAGTTTAACAAAATGGGGTCAAAATTTTGATTTTGTCATTTCTTAAAATACTATCAATAATATAATAAAAAAGTTCTAATTTTTTTTTTTTTTTTTGATGTATGGGACATTGCATGATTTGAAAAAAAAAATCATGCACATCATGCTCATGATGCATTTTTTTTCTCTGCAATTGCAAGAAAATTAATTAATAGCCAGAATCCCAAATTGATTTTTTTTAATTGTAGAAATTTAAAATGACAAAACCTTTCACTTTAATTATAAATCTTGCTTCAGTAGGTGAAATAAAGCTACATTTATAATATGTGCTAGATGCAAGATAAAGGAGAGTAAAAGGTGACATACAACTAAATTGATTTACTACCTATTGAAATCTTTGAAGCATTGTAATTTAGTAAATTATAATTTATTGTCATCGTAATTTTCATATGTTTTATTTAGTTTATTAACTCTATTATTATTATTATACTTAAAAAATATAATGGTTTATTGAATATAACAATTAATTTATAATGGCAGACACAAGGGTTTTGAATAATATAATCAGAATCATTATTTAAAAGATTTTACTGAGCATGAATATTACAGTATATAATAATTGTGTATTAAATTTTATGAAAATATTTTGATTTGAAAATTAATGTGCACGAGTTTGTTTCTATATAATTTTTTTGATATTCTTCACCTTATATGATTTCCTATTGGCTTTTAAGCTGTTCCTCTTAGAGGTTGGAAACAGATTTATTTTCAGGAACCGATTTTAATCACCTTTTTCAAAATCAAAATTGGTTATATATATCAAAGAAACCAGTCCAATTTGATAAAATATAATAAACCAATAAAATAATTAACTCATGGGAATTATCAAGAAACATTTTTTTTAATTATTTTCAAAAGAAAGGTTGTTTATTTTTAAATTAAGAGTTTTTAGATAATTGAACCTTTAACAAAGGCTCCAAACGAATCTAATTGAATTGAATTTTAGAGTGATTCAATTTGATTCCTAAATTTTATATTAAATTTATATTACACAGTGAATCTCAATGTAGTGTATGTGTATCTCAATTTAGTGGATACTAATGGATTGAGGTTTCATATAACGAATTTCTCGATACAGTCAAACCTTGTCACAGCAGATGAATGGGACACATAAGAAAAATTTATTATTATTTAAAAATCTGTTGTGACAAGAATTTAATTATTATTATAGTCTGCCGTGAGAAGGTTTGACTGTATTAATTACTTCATATTCATGGTGTCAATTATGTGATTAACAACTAATGGCAATGAAATATTAGATGAGTTGATTAAAAATACAACTTAAAGCAACTATTAGTGTTCCATGTTGCAATCCCAAAAAGGTGACAAAATGGCCATAAAGGTGGTTGCAATCATTTTTATATGATGCAAAGATGGTAGCAACCATCATCAAAAGTTGCATATATTCTAATAAATGTTATCTTGAATGGATTCCTTATAATGATTTAACAAATATTGAAAAGATGTGAAGGTGGTTTTTTGCAACTGTATACCAAACTACTTGGTTAAATGGTTATAAAGGTGTAGTTCACAGAAAAAAAATAGGAATGTGGCATTAAAAACATAGTCCATAAAATATTCCTGATGAATTTCTTAATGAGCAAAATTATTTTTTTATTACCCCAAACAAAATTATGCCATTCCCAGTTGATTGATTAATTAAAAGAATTTATTCACTTGGTCTAAAAGTGCAAGGCAAATTTAGTTTTCTCCAGGATGGGACAGTCCATGTTCATGCTGACAACACTGGTTATATAGATAAATACAATAAGAAATGAAAGTATGAATATAATATTAAATAATACACATAATATCATGATACATATATATTTACAATTACATTGTTGATATTAATGTATAATATTTTAATGTATAGTTTTCAGAGCTCTGAAAGTTCTTTGACTTTATTATCAAAATCTTCTTGTAAGAAATCAATAGTACTGGAATGGCTGAAAAAATCACTGTTTTCATTTTTTGGTTGCTCATCATTTTCCTCATTATCAATTTTATCAACTATATTTGAACCTGAAATCATTCCATTAAGCATTGTTTCA